TTTTTTTTTTTTTTTCCCCACGTCATGGACAGAGTAAACCTTTATTAAAAAAAAAAAAAATCAGTAGAAACTTATCCTTGAAAAAAAAATATTCATCAAAGTCAGCACAATACCAGTGACAGTGTCACTCAGTGTCTCAGCAGAACTCTCCCTGATGCCCCGGACAGGGGAAGATTTTCCATCCCTCCACCAAGGCCAGAGCTGCTGCGGATGGACGGAGGAAGCGCCGCTCCCCGGGGGTGGGTCACGGCCCGGCAGCAGCTAAGGGCCTGTGCTCGGCCTGATGGCGCGGATGAGCCGTCTTGAACTGTTTGTAGCCAAAACCTCCAGTTACCTGTTTTCAGGAGCAGAGCCAGGGGTAAGCAGCTTTTTCTGAAAGCAAATTGTTGAGTAGAAGAAATCAGAAATTTGTCACCAAAGTGAGTCCCAGTGTCCTCGATATTAAAACTCTTTTTAAAATGCTGGTTAGACAACATTTCATTCTGGAAAGACACTCAAAAAAGCACTTTCTTTTCAGTAAGTAGTCCCACATCAATGTTTTCTTATTCACACATGTATAGTTTCCATTCCAAAATTATTAAAGTAACAAAATGTCCTTATTATTGATAAAATATCAAACCCATTCCAATCTATTTAACTCATACCAACTTGATTTTTTTTTTAAATAAATCTTCCCACATTCTATTTCAGAACAAAATGTCTGTTTGCGTATGAGCCACTCTCTGAACAGAAGAACCCAGCTCCATGAATCAAAGCTCCACAGTGGCTTTCTCATGTCCTTCTAAAAAAAAACCCTCTAAAAAAAAGAGTATGCAGCTCTTTGCACACACCCCTGCCCTGAGCAGCTCTGCCCTTTTTCAGAATGTTGTTGAGGAGATGACGACACATCAATAAAAGTGACCTAGAGGCTTATACGGGCGTTATAGTCTGCCCGTAGTTCCCTTGCTTTCTTCCTGCCCCAAGAGAGCAGCGTAGTGACAAGCAGTGCTCCTTGTCTCTGGAGACACAGCTGGGAAGGGCAGGAAGAGTCAACACATCTGGGCTGGGCTGCTCAGCAGCATGTGTTAGGAGCTGCATCCCAAACACTGCTATTAGTGCTACTGATGTGGATAACCCATGCGTTTAGAGTCATTGTAGTTCCAAAGGCCGTTGGCAGAGCTGCAGGGAGAAAGCCTGGAGCTCACATAAATGGTTCCCACCGCTCACCAAAGAACTGCAGAACGGGGAACTGCTCTAAATATTATGGGCAGCTGAAAGGCATCTGCACAGCTAGAGCTACTGAAATCTTGATGGAAATATGCCCTGGAGGAGAGAACTTGAAAAGTTTAGTGGCCTTCACAGTCTTCATTCTCTCTAGAGATATTGTATACTCTGTGATATCAGAGTGCATAATTTAGCATTATTAACAAAGAATGACATAAACCCCCAAAAGGTCAAATAGTGGTTACATGCAGAGCAGCCTCATGTGGACCTCAACAAATGGCATTTCCACACTTGACTTCTCTGTGGACAGCACTGTATTTGCAGACATGTCCTCCCTATTGCTACTGGGGCTGGAAAGCTTGCAGGTGAGCATATACATTTGTTAATATTTTGAAAAGTGGCCTTGGGATCTTTCCAAAGTGAGGGAGCAGATCGTCCTCTGAGCCAGAGAGAAGAGCTGAACCCTTTGGCCGCTCATGGTCTGACCTACAGGTCATGGCTCAGGGTGGGCCAAGGCTCAGGGCGTGTCATGCCGAGGTTTGGCTCTGACTCAGGAAGATGATTCCTGTTCTGTGCTCTGGGGAGGAAAGTCTGTTTCAGGCCCATTTAATGTCCCTGTGCCTGTTAACAGGAATGGCCAGACTGCTGGAATATTTATGGTTCTGGGCAGGGGGATGACAGAAATGCTCCCTTTAGTGTCATGAACCCCTAGTTACAGCTTTTTTTATCCTCTGTATAAGACAGCACAACCACCTTGTTCTGCCTACATATGATCACTTGCTTCTTGAAGACAAGGCATTTAAAGACATATGTAATACAGTTTGGCACAGTGTTTCTTTTTTCTGCAAAGTCTAGATAGCAAATCTATTATGCAAAAGACCCGAGTAGCTGGAAGGGCAGACATAGCATTCAGGACTCCTTTGAAATTCTTCGATATGTGATGTCTTACCTTAAAAATACCTCCGTAGAGACCTTCACATTGCTGTCCCCACTCCCTATTCCTCAAGACACTTTCCTCATTGTCCTGTAGGGGGAATTGCCCTACCATACTTAGTTGTCAACCTAAAGGGACGTTTTCAAGAAGCAGACCAGATCCACTGGGTGGAAACACTGCACAGGTGCATGTATATTGCTGCTCAAGGTCAAACCGAAGTTTATGGGGAAAGCTGAGGAAATTAAGTAAGCAAACTCAATTTTAAATATCAATATGTCTTTAATCATCCCCTTTCCTTTTACCTTCAAGACGTGACATGCTCAACGCTTCTGAAAACAATAAACGTGGGTACAATATTTGAGCCAAATTAACTTTTCAAACCAGCTTAGTGCTGACAGTCATTGTGCAGTGCAAGCTTTGCTTCTCTCTTTTGGGGTAAGACATTTTGCCTCATTAGCAGACAAACTGCAGGAATTTTAACCTTATCATACATAATTTTTGTATTCAGAACAGTACTTGTAACAACAGATGTATGAACAACATTCATCGAATAAATATATGTGCATAAACATTCATTCTTCCAATCAGCTACAGAACTTAGATTATTACTCAACTATGTATGTGAACTGCACCCTTGCCATTCAAACTACTTTAAAAATGTCTTCACAGATATGTAGTACATATATAATCTACATGTCACAGTAGTTTCATTGCCTGTGCCCATTGTTGAAATGTGATTTATAGTGCTTTTTAACAAAATATGAGTTAAAAAAATCACATGGATAAGGGTTACAACATAGAAATTGTAGAAAAATAGATATATTGTACATAGCAATAATACAATATGCTGGTGTAACATCAAATCTATTGAACTTTGTTTTGACCTGCCACAATATCCAGTTATTCCAAATCTAAACAGAAGCATGGACAAAACTCAAAGAATTTAGTATTATTTCACAGTAACATGGCACGGAATTCAAAATAGCAAAGTTTCTATGGCTTTATGAACATGGAAAAGTATTTTTCATGGTTCTGGATTGGCAACATAGCTCTGCAGTTTATGGTTTGAAAAAGCTCTGTGGTACTGTTGTCCCAACAGAAAAATTTCTCCTTCTCTGAACATGCCTTTTGCCTCTCATACAGAAGGCACAGCATAGCTGTACTGATGGAGCTACAGAGCAGAGACTCATCCAGTGCAGCTCATATCAATTCATTCTTGTGCTATTTCTATGTATCGGAATGGTGGATTGTCATTTTCTTATTGAAAATTAGATTTTTAAAATATGTATCAAAAAAGGTAACATTCCCAGGATCCACTCATGCTGACCCTGATTATTACATTATTTATGCTAATGAGAGGAAACAACTAGTGTTTATTATAAGTTTTGACGTTATACACCAACATCTAAGTTGTCCTCAACTAAGAGGACACCTGGGGACAAACATAGTGGGTCTTCTCTCCTCGTGCATCAGAGGAGGTGCAAGAGGTGAATCAGTGTATTTCCTCTGAGTATGAGGGAAAAAAAGTAGGTGAACGTACATATAACTGCAGAGCTCCAGAGGAATTATTTAATTTTTAGATAGACCTGTCTCTAGTTCATTAACACCCTGGTAAATACAAGGAACTTTAGAAGGTGCTGCAGCACTCATCTGGGATAAGGTATGTAATTTTGGTGAGAAAAAAAAAAAAAAGGAATCACTGATACCAGGTGAAAAAGGTTACTTTTGGATGTTCAGGAGAATGGAAAGCCTATCTTAAAAGTGGAGACTAAAGGACTGGGCTTGCTTATCCTAGAAAACAAAGGCTGGGAGAGGGTTCTGTTTGATCTGTAAAACAGCGCCAGGTGAGAAGAGCTTCTTAAACAGTTGGGCATCAGATGAAAAAAAGAAGTGGGGTAAACCCATATGTTCCTTCCTACATGTCTGTGAGAAATAGTAATTTCCTGATGCTTCTGCCTCACTCAGGGAAATGAGACTGCAGAATAGGTTTCCAAGGTCTACATGAGCGGGCTGGGAAAAGAAAGGAGCTGCTGAAGGGGACTGCACCTCATGGTGCCTATGGGAGCAGGGGCTGGACTCTGCGAGCCAGGAAAGCCTTGCAAATCTGGTAATGGATAACTGCTTAAGTCCCAGAGGAGAAGGCATTTCATGTGGCCTGCTCTCCTTGGGGATGCCAAAAGGAAAGAGATGTGAAAGAGAAATGGCTCCCTAAGATGGCTTTTCATCTTCTAGTACTTTAACACTGGCCAGTCATATGCTGGAGAGTCTTTTCCTGGCCATAGTCCTTGCAGTATTTTTAGGAAGAACTTTCCCTTTTATTAGTGTCTGCCCAGGTGCTTGGGAATGACAGTTTCCATTCACAGGTATTTTTTCAGATTTACATGAGTCTGAGATAGTAGCTCGGGAGCTGGAAGACTTTGAATCCAAAGAAATCTGACTAACAGCAACACTGCCTGCACTCTTGGAGGAATACGTGTAAACCATTTTGAGAAAGGCAGATTTTGTGTTTGTTTCTTGCTTGTAAATGATGATGTAGCACTTTGGAAGAAAAGTGCAGCAGAGGATTCCATAATTGGATATTAAAACAACGATGATTTCCACTGCTGGCAGGTATTTGCCAAATGTAGTTGCATAGACGGGGATAAATACAATCCACGCTATAAAGTAAATTAGCATGCCAAAGGTGATGAACTTAGCTTCATTGTAGTTCTCTGGCAACTTCCTACCTTTAAAGGCAAATATGAAGCAAATGAAGGCTAGGGCAGCAATATAGCCCAGCATAATCCCGAAAGCCACAATAGAGCCCTCATGACACTCCAGAATTATTGCTCTTGGGATTGAGAAATTTTGCTTTACAAAAGGTGTCCTAAATATTAGCCAGAAGGTGCAAATGATAACTTGAATACCAGTGCAGGTGACTACAGTGGGAATAGGTTTATACACGCACTTCAGGAAATTCTGCAGCTTGGGATCAAAGCTGAAGGCTAGTAAAATTTTTAGTGACTTTATTAAAATACATGAAATGCAGAGTGTGAAACTTATGCCAAAGAGGGCTTGCCTAGCTTTACACTTGAATTCTGTGGGTTCATCTATAAAGAAGATGGTGCTTAAAAAAATTAAGAAGTGGCTGAAGAGAATAATATAGCAGACAGTTAGACCTCCAGATGCCTTTACAACCGGCGTGTTCAAGTTTTTAGTAAATATTACACTAATTGACAAAATCAACACAACCCCAAAAGTGGAGAGGAGGAGGAGGAAAATGGCAAACCAGTCAGTCCAGGCGAGGAAATGGATTGTCTTTCTGTAGCATGTGGTACTGTTGACGGGAGCCCAGTAGGTTTTGTTGTTACATCGGTAGCAGTAATCCATATCTGAAAGCAGAGAAAAAGGAAGGCGACTTAGAAACCCGAAGTAAATAAACTGCGAAGTGGATTATCGAGGCTTGAGATACGGGAGCAATGTGGGAAGGGATTCCGACAGGGCTGATTGCTCCCGGCTATTGCTGTCGCCGTCCAGGCGGAGGAGCTGCAGGGCAGCGGTGGCAGCGGTGGCTGCGGTGGCTGCGGTGGCAGTAGTGGCAGTGGTGGCAGAGGTGGCAGCGGTGGCAGTAGTGATGATGGTGGCAGAAGGAGCAAAGGATGAAATCCTGCCAGCTAGGAGCAGGGGCTACCTGTAACCAGGGTCAGGAAGGTGACAGGGAGAATGAGCAGCGTCCTAAAACTGCACTGGTCATCGCTGACCAGTGTTATGTGACCTGGCCAGAGCTCTGGACAGGCAAACTTTAACTGAAACCTGAGCAATGACTTAAGAGTAGATCAATTATCTTACAGAAGTTGGAACTATATTTCTTTTGTTTACCTGTTTCAACAAGAAAAAAAACCCAAGTTTACCTTTACAGATGTCTTTTGAAATGCAACAAGAATAAACATTTAGATTATTCTTTGAAAGGTTACTTTTGCTTTAAAATTACTTTCCTGTGATATGGAGAAATTTCACAGTTATTTGAATTAAAGAGATAAAATTTAATTTTATGCACTCTGGAGATTAAAAGTACATTGTACTGCATTTTAAAAAAAAATTCCATCTCTCTCCTCCATATTTAATTTTCCCCTATAAAAATTTTTGATCAAACCTATAAATGCACTAATGGTAAAGTATACATCAGATTTGATATTAGAAAATATTACTGTACAGTTATATCAAACTTTGCAGTACTCTGTGGTAGGACAAAAAATATGCTGATAAGCAAAATACATAAACCTTGAACTTCATAGATTCATAGAATGGTTTGGGTTGGAAAGGACCTTCAAAGATCATGTGGTTCCAACCCCCCTGCCAGGGGCAGGGACACCTTCCACTAGCCCAGGCTGCTCAAAGCCCCGTCCAACCTGGCCTGGAACACTGCCAGGGAGGGGGCAGCCACAGCCTCTCTGAACAACCTGTTCCAGTGCCTCACCACCCTCATCATAAAAAAATTTCTTCCTTATTGGAGTTGGTGTACTGCGGAAAGAGAGGGAAGCAAGGCTATTTTTTGATGAGAGTCGGTCTCACTGATAAATCAGCCAGACTTTCCATTCTAACAAAGGATAATTCTATTCAGCTGGAAAATCTAATTGTTTTAAGTTTTGTCTTGTAAAAAAAGCATAGAAACCAAGTTTTATAGGCTGAACACTTGTATTTGGGAAACTGAGCATAAACAAACATTTTAATCCCATTTCAAAGTTATACCAAGGTTGTCAAGGCACTTTATACCCAAACAAAACAATTGTATTGATGTCTAAATAAGTCTTTATTTGGGTCACAATTCCTTACCCGTTTGATTGCTGTAATGGTTTTCTGGGCAGTAAACACACTCATAGCAGCATGTGTGTGGACTTTCTGTAACCTTTTTCATCTGTCCTGGTCTGCAGTGCTGGGAGCATGTTGACTGAACTTTCTGCAGTGTGCAGAGAGCAAACAAACAAACAAATCAGCTCAGGCACAACAAATTACTAAGAAACGTTAAAATAAACCTCCAGTAATTCTGCAAGTTGCACTTTCTTTTTGCACCTAGGGGAATCTGAAAATGATGCTGAAAAAAGGCATTGTAGACTTCATGCTTCTTGTATTTTGTCCACACAGTCAACAAGTGACAGGATGAGGCATTATCTACCCGATTTTATTTTTTTTTTTTTTTTTTGCCCCTGAATCATCTCTACCTTTAAAATTCAGAGCAAAGTGCCTCATCCAGCTTTGAACCTCGAATTTAGGTTGCTGAAGATCAGCTCCAAAGAAAGCCAAGAAGCATCTGATGGGGGATTCAAGTGGACTGCTTCACAATTGACATCCTGAAACCCTGCTTGGTTGCTCTGAGCCCAGGGGAGACACCTTAGCTTGGGGGAGACACTTTGGCTCAGGGAAGGCACCTCTGTGGGTGCTCTGCACTGCAACTCTGATATTTCCGACCCTTGGCAGCTCATCTGAGTTACGAAGCACCACTCTGGGACTTTCTCTTCAGGTCTGAGTTCAGGTTATCCTTCCAAAGGCAATTTTTTGTAAGATGGCGAAGCAGTCCTGAGGGACACTGCTATTTCTTATTCATTCAAGATGGTGCTTACAAGGAGGTGAAGATATTTCCTTTCCATCCTGGGCAGTACCACAAAGGGACAAAATTTGAGGTTTTCTCCTGTCCTTAGCCTTTTCTATCATCTGAGTCCACATGCTGAGACTTGAATTCAACCCACCTAATAAGCAGCTTCTCCCTGTACCATTAGTGGTGAACAATTTGCAACACAGAGCAAGACCTCCATCCATGCACAGATGACAGATTATTGAACTGGAACTGGCCAGGGTCACACACTAGTCCAGCCTACATCAGTTCCAGGGCTTCAGGTGGTACCACCTACCTCAGACTCCTGTAGTCATGCTGACCACAGCTCTAATGGAAGGAAATAATCCACAAAACTGTTTTTTTTAACCAGTGAAGTCAACAGATATGTGCCTTTATGTACAAAATAAATGGTGGTGGCACATAAGAGAGGGGACTTTTATATGTGGTCATTTTTAATTTTGAACCCTCTTTTCAAGATTCTGGAGTAGCATCCTTAGGATGGACATAACTTCTCATCTTAGGAAACCTCCGTGAAGCATTCTGGAGAAATAGCTCCATTTCAAATCACTGAGCCTGCTTACATTTTACACTGAGCATGCTAACATGCTTCTCAGGGTGCATGAAAGTGGTCAAATATACCCAGAGAGGGTTCTTTGCTCTAAAAGAACATGAAATCACAAGTACAGCTGACATGTACTTTAGTTGCAAATACTGGAGGGAGAAGAGAACATGAAACAAATTTCACATGTCATGTCAAGAAATTAAAAGCTACCTTTAAATCCATAAAATCTTTTTTTTTCTCTTCATCCTCAAAGATGAAGTCACCTTTCTCTGTGTCATATTCTGCCATAGTGGTGATTTCCATGTGGCCGTCAATTTCTTTCCAAAGAAGTACATCATAACTGGTGCTCATATCTCCATTGGAGTCAAACTTGATTTCTTTATCATCATCAATGACCGTAACTTTTTTAAGTTCTTCAAGGAGCTGAACATAAGTATAAGGAACGATAACATACATCAGTGTCATGTCAGTGTGATAAACTCAATAGTTTAACATCTGTTTGATATATCAAGTTAAAAATAAATGATGCTTTTTATCAGTAAAAGAAAATTAGAAGTCATCTTTATAGCTGTTTAATTTGATGTCCAACATGGTTTTACATTATTCAGACAATCCTGTTGACCTTAAAAATCTATTAATAAAGAAAAAATTATTTTTTAAGCCTGTGCAATGTGTACAAATACTTATGTTAGTATTTCTTTCCAGCCTTGAAAATTTTGGTATGCTGATGGGAAAGAAAAGATTTTTGCCTTTCGGAACTCCCCTTCTGTAAAGAATGACCATGAGTGATGCTCCTGTTGTTACTTTACTGTCACCAAAGTCAATTCGGGCAACATTTGCTTTCAGAGTAACCTCCCCCAGCATGTCTGGAAATATCTAACATTGTTTTCAGCTGCGACTCTGACTGAATTGCAAGATGAGACTCAGAACTGTTAAATGAACAAAACATGCCAGTTTGCTGAGATGAAGTGATCAGTGACACAGTGGCAATAAACAACTAGGCCATATTTGTTAGATCATAGGACACATCAGAACAAGAATGCATTCATAAGGCAGCTGTCCAGGTTCATACTGCAACCTATTCTGTTCAACAGGGGAAAATTCAGGTCTCCCTCATCACAAACAGACAGATCGAAAAGGTCTGTGTGAATTTAGAAAAGGACAGGTTAAGGCACATATAACCCACTCCCAATTCATGTGGAGACCATAGAAGGACTTTCATTACCTACCATGCTTCTTACTTGAACCAAAGGCTTTATCCCTTTGCAGGCCTAATGGTTTTTGGCAACAGGGATTAATGAACAAGAAAAAACCCCAAGATTTTAGTGAAAGACTGAATTTAACTGCCCTTTGAAAAGCACACTCTTATGTGGATCCATTTGTTATATTTGTAGCATTTAACAACCATGCGGTCAGTGTACTACTTCAATAGGCTTTGGCAAATATACATATATATATATATATGTAACACATCTAGTGTATGTAACATCATTTTTTTTCATGTATAACGGAACTTTTTTGAGAGTTCATATGCTCTTGCTGCATCTCTACCAATTATGAAAACCCAAGTGTGCTTCTAACCAATATTGCATTTGAGTTGGATGTGTGGGACTGAATAGGATTTTTTTTATTGTGCATACTCAGGCTTGTCATTTAATCTGTCTCTTCTCTACTTCTCCAATTTCTCTAAAAATATATGAACAACTCAAGCTTCAGGCAGAAGGGGCTAATAAGTAGCAAAGTTTTGATGTAACTGATGTCTATTTTTCCAAAGTCTGTAACACCAATGACTGTCATTTCTCCGTATGTGGAGATGTGTGATATGGATCAGTTGCATCCTAAGCTTTATATACATATATATCAATTTCTAGAGGGTTTAAATTTAGTGTAGAAGAAATGTATTATGAAAACATCACAGGGGGAATAACTAGCTCTTTTAGTTTTCTTCATGAGTTCTTAGCCTCTTAAGAGGTGGTCTGGGATTTAATTCAGCAATGGTGTAAATGCAGCTCCATACAGTTGCATCCCCTGTAGAGCAGTCCTGAATTTGTCCTATTTGCATTTACAAATTCATGTAGGAGTCTGATTGTTACTGCTTGGTTTGTTTGGGTTTTTTTCAAATCCTCTATCTTGGTTTGACCTGCCCTGACCTAGGATAAGAGGTCAGAGTAAGTCAGAGTGCTTCAGTGGTTGTTTGACTTTTAAATGAACTTTTGTTTAATCATCTGAGTAAAAGTGTGTAAAAGTGAATACTCCTAGGCAGGTTCTTGGGTAAAAGGTCGGGTCAGGTTTACTTGTCTGATTTTTCCTCTTTTTTTCCCACCCACTAGAGTTTGATAACAAGTACCTCACCCATCTTAAAGGTTGTGTCTTATTTTCCTACTAGTCATTTCAGTATAAATCAAGGTCAAACAGAGGAATAGTCTGTTGCATTTTCACTTTCAAGTAAAGATTCATTATGGAAGAAAATACCTGAATTCAGACAAAACAGAGATAATGGTGAGAGAGTGAGAGAGGAAAATTGAAACTCTTTGGTGAATTCTCCTATTCTGCAATATCCCCATCTCTCAAGAGTGCTCATTGCTGTGTATTATGGTGGTTTGCAGCAACAGAAACCAACCACTAGTAGCTGAATAGCTGATAAGTCAATTGTAGACTGACTATACATTTTATTCTGTCCCAAATGAGCAGCTAGCGACATTCCAGCAAGAAGCTTACAGACTGGAGCCTTCATCCAAGCTGATGCTCTTTGAAGGTATGAGGGAAGTTTTAGGGTAGCTAATGAAGCTCAGCAGCTAAAGATTTGTTCTGGACCTGTGGAGTCATGTATTTACAGCCATTTCTATGGTAGCCATGAAGGAAGAGATGGTGGGTATGCAGTTACTCACCATCAGTTAGCTATCTGTATGTGAGATGCAATAATCTGTCTCTGTCTACAACAGAACACAGCCATGGTTTAGCACCAGGAGCCTCTACATCTACATGGGCCAAAAAAAAAGGAAGACAAATCTGGAGTCTAGTTCTCATCACTGCAGCAGTTAGATACTGCTGCTCTAACATATAGTCTGTGATTTCAGTTGGTAAAAACCAAGCTGGAACAGGAATAAAAAGTCATTTAGTAAAAGGATCAAGCTAGTAAATCCAGGAATGTGAGAGCAAGAATGAGATGAAAGTTATGCAGAGAGAATGAGACAGAAAAGAATTAACATCATACCTCCCAGGGAGTGAAGGCAGAAGGATCCTTGCAGTTTCTGTCTTTGCATTGCCCTTTAATGGCGTGAGCAATGGCATATACTGCAAGTATAGTACTATGGATAAATCCTGGTTCAATGTTAGCATTCAAAAAATCATCTCTCCAGATCTGATGTTCGTTCTCAACATTTTGCAATAGATCATCCTGGGACTGGTTAGAAATGCATGTTTGAAAATCATGATATTCCAGGTGTGCACAGACTGACAAAAGCATAATATATTCACGCAAAAACTTGTTGTTGTCAGTGGGCTTTTCATGAAGGTTTCTCAGAAAGTCTTGGAATGTGGACATGTCTCCACTTTTAAATCCAAATCCCACAATGGTTCCCAGCTGTCTGATATTGGGAATTTTACTGATTTTGACCGCAGCCGACCAGTTATCACTTGCAATCCAGATTTTATTTACATTCCTCTCAATTGCCTTCTTAAATAGTTTGAGCACATGGAACTGTCTCATAAAGACAACAATAACATTTACTCTGGTTTCCTTGACAATTTTCTCAATTGCGTGATCAACTTTAGTGTGAAAGGTGTTGTCAGAGAGATAGGCAGGCAGCATTTCTTTAAAAGCTATGCAAACGTTGTTTGCCATGGCCTGGACCCCAAAGCTCTCCAAAGCAAACCGCCCGTTGTCATCATCAGTGGCTATTACTCCAATCCAGTTCCACCCAGACTCACAGATCAAGTGGGCCATTGCTCTCGTCTGATGAAAATCACTCGGGATTGTCCTGAAGAAAGAAGGAAACCGGATTTTGTCACTGAGGATTTCAGCTGATGATGCAGGACTGACCTAGGAAGAGTGAACAGTTCGGTTATGGAGGCTGTCTCTTCCAAGGGACACCAAAAGAACCAAAACTGCCATGATTGCTCTTTCATCCAGCCTGACCCAGGCTCCCTCCTCCTGTGAGTGAGCATCAACAAGGTGCAGCCAAATGGGGCAGGTTCCCTCACCCTGTTCTTAGTATGCAGGCTCATGCCCAGTACAAGTTCCATTATTGTCATCTTCATCCACATAATTACTTCAGTGAAGGCAGAGAATAAAACATTTCAAAATGTATATGACAATTATGCTGGTATAAGGATTTCATTTTACCCAGTTCAGATACCACCAATGTGCTATTCAAAACAAAATTTAAACACTGGAAGCATTAACTATTGTTTGAGTTATTATTCAAATTGCTAATATCCTTATATTTCGCAGTGGTTTTCTATCACTCAGTCTATTAGTATGGTTCATCCACATATATATTTTCTCTCCAAGTTTCATTTATTATATTTTAAAGGGATTGTTAAATCTGTTAGAAGACTGTCCCAGAAAAAAACAGAATGCTATAATTCTTTCCTATAAAAGTTTTATTACCTTTGAATGTAGCTAGAAAAATGTGAATGGAACATTGTTATTTAAATATCTCTAGTTTTGATACTTTTCTATTTGTTTGTAAGAGCGTTTTCCCCTACACTTAATATTTCTTACATTGTTTGACAGTTCTTAAAAAAATAAATCTAAGCTTTCCAAAATAAGTGTCACCTCTTTGGATGGGAAACCAAATCTTGCTGATGTCAAAAGATAACAGATGCTATTGATGAGAAAAATCTGCTGGATCACCTTTTTCCATCTCTACGTCCTAATGCAGATTTGTTTCATCACTTGCCTTTTGATTATGTTAAAGTGTGGCATTTTAATATTCATGCTTACTATATCTCCTGTGTAGAGCTGGAGGTCATAATTACTTCATACCATTGGATAAGAAAAGATACAGTTAGAAGTTACATGTAACTCATACTTAATGTCTTTTCCATGTGTTGGTTACTATGTTGCTACTTTGCAGTGAGGTAATTTATGTCAAATTGCCAAAACCAGGGTGCAACATAAGATGTTGTGGAAGTGGATCTCCTTTTCCCTTGTTGGTCCTAGCCTTGACCCTAACTCTTTTACAGTGGTGAAAGTAGAAATGTAAGCACGGGTCTAAGTGAAAGTGTGGGACTGTACTGTCCTAGAGAGGTCAGAAATAGAGAATGTTTTGGGAATGACCAGTGTGGATTTAGAGATCTAGAGAGTTGTATTCTTTCTCTTCTACAACTGCTTGAAGAATAACAAGAGTAAAACTGTGGTTTGGAGCAATATTCCTCACTTCCCTGTCCAAAGTTATAATGGACTCCAACATCTAATCTCTCTCAGCCAGGAGATAATTTCTAGATTTCTGGCCAAATTTGATTCCCTCCTCCACCC